AAACCCCAAACCCAACCCGCCCCTCACCCCCACGCCCTCTCCAAAACCCCAACAAAACCCAAGAAGCAAAGCTGGCTATTTCCCAAGGTGTGGTGACTGCTCTGTTTTTTTTCTGGATGCTATCACATGGCTTCACAATCGTGTTCTCTGGGAAGTGAAGAAAGTTTAATTCTGCAAAAGAATTAATGGAATAATCATAAGCTCATTTCAATACAGTAATGCTGAAGGAGGCTTTCATTTTATATAGCTGCAGAAGGTTTAGGTCTTAGTTGATTTTGCATTTGGTTTGAGAAATACTTTCTGGCTTTAAAAGTTTTTATTTCTGAATTATTTTGGGAGAAGTGTGTTGTTGGATTGTTTTGTCAACATATCCTATGTATGCAAGGGATCCAGACAGACTGTTAGGAAAGACTCGGGGAGGGGTGCGTATGAAGGGTTGATTTCTGACTTGGTGCGTTAATTTGAATGGTGTTCGTAATAGAGGTAGTAATTGTTTTTACTTTAAATTGCTGAATTTTTCTAGTGCAGTTCTCTCATTGTGTATCCTACAGGATGCTGAAAAGCGGGCATTTGTTCTCCTCGCTTTCTTACCTGGCTAGATTTGTAGTCAATATTTCTTCCTAACTTCTAAAACACGAGGCATATATCTTTTTAGGAAGAAAACCCAAGATCTCTTCATGCATGTTGTTCAAACCTTGTGGAAATTCTGCAGTGGTACTTTCTCTTAATTTGGGCATGGTTAGGATCGGATCTATACATTATTTAGGTGCTTGACTCCTGCATGCTTCTAGCGTTCTACGGTAACAAAACATCTTAGACATGTAAACCTCCATTGAATATTTACTTGTATTTGGATGCCTTTACATCAATGCTAGCTTAAAGGAAAGATCTGTCTAGCTTAGTATCCTGACAACTTCCAGCAGTTGATGCCTGAGAAAGAGTCATACAAATGGTACAAGCATGTAGCAGTACGTCCCTCATGATACTTTTCCCAGCCTCCAGCAAGCCTTGGGCCTGGGACTTGTCTGTGCTGAGAAGTGCTTGAAAGATTTTTCTTCAACAAATTTGTCTCATTGCTTTCTGCTCTCATGTAAACTTTCAGCATCTGCAGAGCTATGTGCCAAGGAGTTCTAAATCTTAATTATGCACTATTGGAAGAGACAGAATAATACACTTCTGCTTTAATCAGCAGCTTTCCAGGTTGCTGTAAAGGTTGTTAACTTATGTAGCTGTTCATTTGTACATTTAATTTTTAAGTCCACTAGTAAAGAATTTTTTTTAAGATATGAAAATGGTATGGGTCCTATAGTTTTTTTTTTACTAGCGTTTAAAGATTTGACTCTGTTTTGAATAAAACAGACCACCTAGTAGGATTTCTTCTAGAAATGTCCATTTCTAGGATGGAAAGATATGGTTCATGTGCTCTGATACTGGCTCCTTAACACCAGGGTATTTTTGAAGGAGCCTTTATTATGCAATTAGAATTTCTTTTTTTTTAACTTAAAGTCAGAGAAAGCTGTTGAAAAGGACAGTTATGCTCAGTGGGACAAATTAGTGAATAGCTCATTTGTAACAGTTATTTATTATGGTCTTATTTGAATGCAGGAATTAAGCTAGCTCTCCAAAAGTACTCAACTGAAATTAGACTAAAATATTTTCACAGAGGAAACAACAGGAGAACAGGGAATTACGTTAGCTTACCAGGATCTGAACTATAATGCAGTGACTTACCCAAATGGATACTTACTACAACATCCTTCAATCAGTGCTCCAGCTGCAATACCTAATACTGAGCGGTAGTTGCTTACTCGGCACCCCAGTTCTTGTATTTTGGCTAAATGGCAAAGGTAGGTTGGAGGAATAAGGCACACAGCTTTTCTGCTGACCAGGAGAAGCTGAGAAACCAGCTGTGTGACTCTGATTAATCTTGTAAAATATCTTTGCCTGTCTAATGAAACCATTGGAGAGTAATGAAAGCTGAAAGAATAAAGGAACTCGGGCCTCTGCTTCCACCATGCCTTTGCTTCCTTTCCTGAAGAGAAGAGCAGTGCTGGGCAGTTGGACTGTTTCTCTTTGGTTTCACTTTCTGATATTGCATAACACTTCTGTTATACTGTGAATGAGAACACAAGAAAAGTTTATCTACAAAATAGGCATTTATAAAATTATTTCCTGAATCTTTTTAACAAAACCTCTAATATTTAAATTGGTAACATCTCTTTAGTACACGTAAATAATTATTACAGATGTTTTATGCAGTATGACTTATGCTTACTGGAAGCTGATTAGTATAACGTGTAATTTGATACCTTTCTACTTTCAAAGGCACTAATGTGAGCTGTAAAAATCCATTTTTGCCAAAATAGGAACACGTAATTCATTCCAAAAATATTGTGGTTAATATTTAAATGATACAGTCTTAGAGCTGACTACGTTATTCCAATCCACCATACCAGCACAAATACTGCAGCTATTATTGTGTAGCTAAATGAGAAAGTTTTGTTAGCTCCAGATTTGGAAGAACTGTACACCAACTTCAGCAAGGGCTTGACCAGCATTGAGCCTATGGAAATCTGACTATCTTGGTATGTGAGTCATACTAGAGGAGGTGATTAATGTTAAGAATGACTTTGTGCGATACGCAAAGATTCTTTATGATCTATACTAATTTTCTTTCAGTGTGGAAAAGTCTCCTCATGAAGTAAATTCTTTTGAGAATTAACAGTGGATGGAGTATTTTGCATAGGCTTGAATATCTATATATCCTGCTACATTTATTAAGATTATCTTATGTTGGGTTATATGGCAGTTTCCCAGTTCATTAGTATTTCCTTTCTCAGCAGAAAACGTAACATTTTAAATGCCCTGTTGTTTAATATGCAGCTCAGATAAATATGCTAATGACACAGTAGGAGTCTGTAAATATTTATTGTAAGTTCTTAAAGATATGTATTTTAACAGATGTAGGGCAAATGTCTTTCAGTATTTCTGAAGGGCGGAAATAGTGTTTAAAGTTCCCAGTTGTCAATGACACTTGCAGTAAGTGTGTTTCCAGAAAAACATGGGAATTGTGGAATTGCTCAACTGCTTCAAAACCCCATAAAAGTTGATGATATTTTTTTCCATTGCTCTCAGCTACTCTTTGATCCATATAAAAACATTATTGTGGTGTGTGGAGAGGTTAGGGGTGCACTTAAACTGTTCTTTGCATGCAAGATCCTTCAATGTCTGTACTTGATACTCCATTACCAGCCTAAACTGCTTCTCCGTTGCAAGAACAATGAGTGGCAAGTAAATGTTTATGCAAGCAGTTCATTTCTATATTTCTGTTGAGGAAAAAAAGAACAATCTTACCCGAACAAACAATCTACTACAATAACAGCCTAGTGTTGATTCTAGTATTAGATAAGTAGTATTGTAAGTATATTCAGAGGAGTATATGAAGACTACCTATATTAATGCGGTCACTAATAGTGCTTGAAATTCATTGTTGGCTAAGTTTCTTAAGCTTTGACTGGATTATTTTATTGCTGATTTGAATTACAAAGATGGAGGAACAGGCTTTGAGAAAATCTTTTAATTTGGGCCTGGACATTTGTATGCTGGACCACATGGGACTCTTTCTTGGTGAAAAGATATTGAAGGACTTACTACATTATGATACATAACAAACTCTTGGGAATCAGGCACTCTGCTATTCTATAGCAGTCCTGAGAATTTACCTGGTTCATGTTGCTCATCCAGTGATACTTCCACCTCAGATCTCAGATAACACACTGTGTAACTGACAGGATTCCTAAAGTACACAATATAGTTGTTTACTGGTATTTATAGAAACAAGTAAATATAAATGTAAACAAACAGGTTTATCTCCATTTAATAAGCTTTTTGGATGTTTGTCATCAGCTTTCTGAGGATCTAGTTTCTGTACAACCCTGCATCTTCAATTTGCATTCACTGAACAGGGCTGCTATTTGAGATGTATGTCTCTCTCTCTTTT